AAGTATAAGTTTCACATTAGCATGATCAAGTGTTCTGGGATTCCCATTCTTCTCAGAGTCAGCCACAGTTTGTTATGGTCCACACAGTCAAACGCCTTTGCATAATCAATGAAGCACAGATAGACATCTTCTGGTATTCCCTGCTTTCAGCTAAGATCCATCTAACATTAGCTACAGTATTCCTGGTACCATGACCCCTTCTAAACCCAGCCTGAACTTCTGGCAGTTCTCTGCTGATGTGCTGTTCCAGTCGTTTTTGGATAATCTTCAGCAGAATCTCGTTTGCACGTGAAATCAGCGATATTGTTCTATAGTTTCCACACTCTTTTGGGTCACCCTTCTTTGGGATGGGAACAAATATAAATCTCTTCCAGTCAGTTGGCCAAGTGGTTGTTCTCCAGATTTCTTGACACAACTTGGTGAGCACGTCCAGGGCAGCATCTGTTAGCTGAAATACATCACTTGGTATACCATCTATTCCTGGGGCCTTAGTTTTTGCTTTTTCTTTCAAAGCAGCTTAAGCGTCTTCCTTCATCACTATAGGCTCTTGCTCATGTGTTGTTTCATTAAATTCTTCTGTGTCTGCTAATTCCTTTCAATACAATGACTCAGTATATTCTTTCCATCTTCTTTTGATACCTCCATCATCACTTAATACTCTGCATCCTTGATTATAGCAACTCTAGGTTTGAATTTGTTCTTCAGTTCCTTGAGCTTAAGAAATGCTGAGCGAGTTCAACCCTTTTGGTTTTCTGACTCCAACTTCTTGAACATTTCATTGTAATATTTTACTTTGTCATCCCGCCCTACCTTTTGAAATCTTCTGTTTAGCTCTTTAGTATCTTGAATTCTTACTTGTGCTTTGGCTTCTCTGCACTCCAGTGCAATATTCAGAGTTTCTGCTGACATCCATTTTGGTCTTTTCTTCCTCTTCTTTCTTTGTAATCAACATTTACACTCTTACTGGATGATACCCTTGATATTCTCCCACAACTCATCTGGTCTTCGCTTATTCGTGTTCAAGGTCTCAAACCTGTTCTTGAGATGGTTTTGAAATTCAGGTGGGATAGACTCAAAGTTATATTTTGGTTCTCGTGGATTTGGTTTCATTTTCCTATATGACTCGTAGTGACCCTATAAAGAAAAGATCTGAACCCTATTTTATCCTGTGCCATCTTTGCACTTCCTGATACACAAGATCCCACTGTAGTAGTCACTGTGCGAATATACCTGGTTGAAGGCCTTTCTCTTCTTTGCTGACCCTCCACCCTTCCCAGTGTCATTTAGCCCCTCCTACCAACATGTCCAAAGTATGTGAGATGAAACCTCATCATTCTTCCCTTCAAAGAGCACTGTGGCTGCACCCTCTTTAAGACATATCTGTTTGTTCTCTTGGCCTTCCTTGGGATGTTCAGTGCTCTTCTCCAACATCACAGCTCAAAAGTGTCAGTTCACTTCCTGTCATTCTTTGTCTAGGCCTCAGATGCATAGCAATTAATCAGAAAAACCATGGCCTGAATAAGACACATCTTAATTCTCAAACTGACATCATTACTCCTTAATAATTTGGAGAGGTCCTTACCTGCAGATTTTCCCAATGCAGTGTGTCTCCTTACTTCTTGGCTGCTGGTACCAAAGGAGTTAATTGTGGATCCAAGCAAGATGAAGCTGCTGTTTCATTCTCCTCTCTATCCATCATGATGCTGCCTATTGGTCCAATGATAAGAATCTTGGCAGTCAGGAATTGACCGAACATGCGTTAATGATAATTGATGACTGGAATGCAAATGAAGAAGGAATAGTAGATGCACAATATGGGCTGGTGGTAGAAATGAGACTGGAAATAGAATGATGGAATTTTGTGTTTACAATGATTTATTCATTGCAAAAACCTTTTTTAAAATACAAAGACGACGACTACACGTGGATCTCTCTTGATGCGTTGCATAGGAATCAGATTGACCAAATTTGTGAAAGAAATCATTGGAGAAGCTCAATATTAGTAGTCAAAACTAGGCTAGGCCAGGGGCGGACTGAAGGTTAGATCATCAATTACTCATGTAAGTTCAAATTGAGGCTGAATAAAATGAAAATAAGTTCATGTGAACCAAGATATGATCTTGAATCAACTCCATCAGAATTTCATGATCATCTTAATAATAGGTTTGAGGCGTTGAACACCATTGACCAAAGACCAGGTGAGTTGTGGGATGGTATCAAGGATATCATCCATGAGGAAAGCAAACGGTCATTAAAAAAACAGGAGAAAGAGAAAATAAAAATGGATGTCAGAAGAAATCCAAAGGTTTCATTGGAGCCTCGAGAAGGCAAGACAAAAGGAAAACATGTTGAAGTGAAAGAGCTGAGCAGAAGGTCTCAAAGGGCAGCTTGGGAGGACAAAGTAAAGTATTAGAATGGAAAGTGCACTTTTATGCAGGACTGATGATTTGATTTGGTAATTCAGGTTTAAACATGGCAAGTTAATTGATTCAAAGATGAACCCTGACCAAAATGAAAAGAGTTTCTATTCTTTAATAATTATTTCAATGCTGGAAATATAACCATTTGAGCGAGAGGAGGAGCACACTGGGTGATGTTTTTGGGAATGAGAAAGGAGGTATTTCTTCATATACAAACCCAATGGCACAGACAGCTATTCTTCCTAGTATGTATATAGACTCTTGACTCATGCTGGACATTAGTTTATCCGTGGCCTGTAGCCATCTTAATAAGGTGATAAAAGGACAGTTAAATGCCAGTCGCTTGTATGCAAAACTCTGTGATTGATTCTAGGGGAATATTCACTTGGATTTTCAGTGTCCACTTTGAACTACATAGGGTTTTTGAAGGCCTGTTATTTCAGAATTAGACTAGCCATTCCTTCTTCCTATTCTGTCATCATCCCAGTGCTCATGTTTAGAACAGTATCTGACAGAAAAGCATTTTACAGAAAGGAACAGATGAAAGACATTTCGCAATTACATAAGCAACCGATAGATTCAGTGCTGCTTGCCACCCTTGGCACCTGTGTCTTGACCCACCCTTTTCCCCTCACCACCAGCATCCCCTTCCACTCTCGCCTATACCCTTTAACACCTCTCTCCGCCTTTCCAGCCCTTGATATGATTGCTTAAGTCTCAAGATTTCTGTGATTCCTGAGTTTCTCATGCTGCTTCCAGTCTCTTATGCTGTTGCCAGTACCATTTGAGTTTAGGAGTCTCTAAGTCCAAATACCAGGTACTAGTATTAGGGAAGGCTACCTACCTCAGATAGTTCATAGGAAAAATCCTTTGCCTTGAACTTCTCCAGGACTGACTTATTGTGGCTTAGAGCCTCTTCTCTTCCATTTGCAATACACTACTGTCACAGTAGGATAGTTTCCCAGGAGAGGGTGCTGTGTCCTGTTGTTGGTATGTGCTGTCAAGTTGCTAGCGACTCGTAGTGACCCTATGTACAACAGCCCTAAACTATGCTTGGTCCTGTGCCAATCGCAGTGTCTCTGATACACCTATCCCGATTACCCCAGTCACTGAATCAATCCACCTCATAGAGGGTCTTCCCCTCCTGTGCTGTCCCTCCACCCTCCCAAGCATGATGTCCCTCTCCAAGGACCAGTCCCTCCTTAAAACATGTCCAAAGTATATTAGAAGAAGCTTCAGAATCCTTGCCTCCAAGGAACCGCCTGGTTTAACCCTCTCCAGGATGGATCTGTTTGTTTTCTTGGAAGTCCATGGTACATTCAATACTCTTCTCCAGCACCACAGCTCAGAGGCATCAGTTCTCCTTCTATCCTCCCTAGTCATTGTCCAA